TAAGGAGTATGCCATATTTCCCATAGTTTAGGGTCCTTAAGGCAATGCAGGATTTATCTCATCAACAGGGTGAGCCCTTCCCAGCAGGTTTGCTATGTCGAAGATCCTTCCTGTAGACTGGTTGTCGTGGGTGTGTCGTGGAGGTTTACTTGCTTAGACAACGGCGTTTACTGTTTACTTGGAGGATCATGGAAGGGTTCTATAAGAAGGGTTTGTGGTTAAAGGCTTAGGGTTCAGGGTCATTAATAAGATGTACTTGGAGGATCATGGGACTTAGTACCGGGTTCCTTAGAGGGTTCTATACGGAGGGTTCAGGGCTTAAACGTGACTTAATAACTAGTGATAAGAAGAAAGTAACCATAGCTATAATTACCTAGAGCTCCACTTAAGGTACTGACAACTTTAACTTACTAAGTCCCTTGATCCTCCAAATACCTAAACCCTAAACCCTAAACCCTAAACCCTAAACCCTAAACCCTAAACCCTAAACCCTAAGCCCTAAGCCCTAAGCCCTCATAGTGCCCCTGTAGATCCCTTTAAGGGACCCTTAGCCCCTACGGTTGATAAACCCTGCATTACCTTGAGGACCCGAAACTATTGGAATTATGGTAGTATATTCTGTTCTATGGGTAATGCAGGATTTATATCATCAACCGTGGCTACCAAGTCTTGAGCTTTTTTGCTTCGGCTTCCCAGTGACGTGGGAAGCCCTAACTCCGTCGTCCTGTTAAATCCTAAACCCCTAAACCCTTAAACCCCTAAACCCCTAACCCTAAGTCCCTAAACTTCTAAACCCTTAACCCCTAAACCCCTAAACCCTAAAAGCCTAACCTCTAAACCCTAAAGCCCTATAACCTCTAAACCGTAAACCCGTAAATCCCTGAATCCCGGAAACCCCCGATTCATAGGGCTCCAAGAGGAAGATAAGCAACAGCACTTTCAGGGTTTAGGCTTTAGGGTTTGGGGTTTAGGGATTAGGGTTTAGGATTTGGGGTTCAGGGATTAGGGTTTAGGGTTTAGGGATTAGGGTTTGGAATTTAGGGTTTAGGGTTTAGGCAGTTCTGTATGGGCCATAAGGGGCTTTATCGATGTTAGATGGGTCCTACCAGGGGTTTGGGGGTGTTTACAGGGAGATCCCCGCCTAAGCCCCACAAATGATCCATGCAAACCGACATAGAAATGCCCTTTTGAAGGGCCCTTCAAAAACCCTATAAACCTCTATAGTAATCAGCACCCTATAAACCCCTATAAGACCTGATATTGCTGAATTAAGCCCCGCGGGGAGCCTAGACTGTCAGCTTCGCGAGGAGGATGGTTCCGGTCGCGAACGATATGCCCTTTCAAACGGCACTGATGTGGGAGTTTCCGAAAACAAGGGGTACCTTATTTTGGGGTCCTTGTATCAAGGATCGTTCTAATTTAGGGTATTATATTAGGGTCCCCTATTTTCGGAAGCCCCCATGCGGACTATGTTTTGGGGCGTGAAGGTCGTAGAAAGTGCTGGGAGGGTTTAGGTTGTTGGGGCTTAGGAGGGGCTCAAAGTTCCAAGCTCCAGGCTGGAAAGTTTGGGCCTTTCATAAGCAGCATCCAAGGTAGCCTGAAAGGTCGTCGTCATGAGCTACCCTAAACCTTGAACCGTCAACCCCTAAACCCCAAAACCCTAACCCCTAAACCCCTAAACCCAAAACCCTAAACCTTAAACCCTAGACCGATGCGTGGTTTGCATGGTCAGTTCTTCGGCTTTCGCGTCGAGGCGATCTTCAGTCTGAGCCCATGCGTGGGCAATATAGGGGCCTACCCAGCAGCTCCAATGAAGTTCCTTTTTGGGGGTGTTATGGTGTTTTTGTAAGGAATTAGAGTATACCATCCAAAGAGGAACTACATAAAAGCCCTTGGGTAAAGCCTATATTATTTAAGGGGTTCCTTATTATAAGTATAGTACAATGGGCCCCAAAAACCTTATTCTTACTATTAAGGCCCCTGTATTCGTTCTCCTAAATTGGGGACTTGGGAGATCCTGGGAATTGGTTTAGGGTTTAGGGTGTAGCGTTTAGGACTTAGTAGTAAAGGCTTAGGGTTTAGGGTTCAGGGGCTTAGGGTTTGGGGTTCAGGTGGGACTGAGCAAGTAAGGGCTTAGGGGTCCCTTTAAAAGGTTCTAGAAGGGTTCCATTCATGGTTTTTGTGCATCCTATAGAAGCCTAGACTATATAATTACCAAGATTATCCCCTGGGGCTCCTTATTGCAACCATGCTATAAGGAGCCCAGCTTCCTCTTCTAATCATCAAGGCCCCTACGTTCGGGTAGTAGTCTTGTCCAGCTTTTCAGTCTTCCATGCCGGAACAGTGTCGATGCCGAATCGCGGGGTGAAGGGGGCAAAGGTCCGGGCGTAGTAAGTAGTGTTGTTTGATATCGTTGGCGGTAGATATGTGTAGCTTTTCTCGGGGCTCACAGGCTTCAAAAGGCTCCGCGTGGGTTTGGGAGTGGTTTCGAATTCAGCTGGAGCGGTCACGTGAGCTTGGTGCTGTCATCGACGACGACTTGAAGAACTCTATGATCAAGTGCCGTATCTGCTCAGGGCCGACCTTCAACGGCCTTTTGGGCTATGATGGGGGCAAGCAGGGTGAGCTGGACCTGGACACTTAGATTGTAACCTTCGACAGTGGGCGTAAACTCATTGCTCGAATCTGCATGGTTTCCGAGAAGCTCACCGTTGAGCATGCGGCTGGTATTCTTTCTGCCGTCCGCCACACTCCTACCCTGAGCAATGCAGTGAGGAGCAGCCTCCGCCGGTCGCTTCGCCGGATGACTTGGAGACTGCGATGCTGTGCGAGTTGCGAGAGGTCTTCGACGCGAAGAAGGTCTTCTAAGCTTCGTTTCTCAATGTTATGGGAGTCTCTGGGCATGTGGGTGTGTTTCTAGGTTCAAAAATGCGCCGCTGGCCCAGTGACATCTTAGCCCAGCCAACTGTAAACCGAAAGCCTAACCCCTCAACCGAAACTCGAAGCCCAACACCCCAAACCAAAGCCCAAAACCCTGAGTCAACCGAAACTCGAAACCCTCAACCTTAAACCCTCAACCGAAACTCGAAACCCAAAGCCCTCAACCCTAACCGCTCAAGCCTAGACCCTGTTTTGCTGAGTTTCTGACGCACCAAGCCCCAGGATCCTCCAAACGTCGCCCCAACCCTAAGACTCCTTATCGCACCCCTAATGCTCTAAACCCGATAGCCTATACTCTATACCTAAATCTTGTATAGTACCCGTAAAAAAAAACCCTAAACCCGATAGCCTATACCCTATACTCTAAACCCTGTAAGCCTATATAGTACCCCTATACCCTAAACCCCAAACCCTGAAAAAGTGCCCTTTAATGTACTTACTGTAGGACTTCTCAGGTCGATGCCAAGCTCCTCGTCAAGGGCGACCTTGTCCGAGTGCTTCCGGGATCGAAGGCAGCAGAACACCGGTTTTAGGGGCTTGGTAAGTAAGTAGGTAAGTACGTTAGTTAGTTAGTTAGTTAGTTAGCTAGTTAGTTAGTTAGTTAGTAGTTAGTTAGTTATTTAGTTAAAGGGTCGTCTTAAGGGATCCATAGGGGTACCTTAAGGAGTGTAGGGTTTGCAGATACTTGGAGGACCCGGCGACTTAGTAGCAGTTGTAAGTAGTGGACGTAGTAAGTAGGCTTGTAGGTACCCCAACCGGAGCTACAGGCACATATATGCAATTACAGATATTTTCTTTGCTAGTTTCTAAGCCCCCTGATCCTGCTTCAATGTCCACCAGCTACTTAAACCTGATGAGCTTGTAGACTCAACACTTTTCTGCTGTAACCAAAGCCCTCAAAACCGGAAGTTCATTTTTTACTCTGAACTCGGCACCTCAGTCAAGGATCAGGGTACATAGTAGGTAGGGTTGTAATTCAGATGACCCTACTGCGGGTACTGTATGGCCTTTAAGGACCTGAGGGCTTAGGGTAATTTGGGGAGTTCCGAAAATAGGTGACCCTAATATAGTACCCTAAATAATAGGATCCTGCTGAAAGTCATGAGGTAGATCATGAAGATTGGGATTGTCAGGGTCACCTGCTGAGGCCATAGCTCTTCTCTTCCTGAAGAAAAGTATCGTTCCAAGTTTATCGGACGATCCCCGATGGGAATCCACAGGAGCTCAGAACCATGAACCCTCAGCGCGGACGAAGTCAACCCTGTGCCTTTTCACTCTACAGCGAAAGAAGCAACGAAGTTAGCACGACTGCTGTACAAGTGCTAGTATATGTGTGTTGTGTGTGCATGTTGCCCTTCTGCGCCTTTGGTACACTTCTCGAGTTGTGCATTCGCACTTGGAGTAGATGACATGTCGTGTCATCCATGCGCGGGGGCCTGCTACTGGAGCCTCCAAGGCTACAGATCGTAGTGCATTACAAGAGCTTCAAACTACAAAAGCATGCAGAAGAAGAAGAAGGGGTCTGGGCTTTCTGTACTTCAACACCCCTCCTTGAGTGCTCCGTCAGGAGTGACTCATCAAATTAGTCAATGTTCTTTCGAGAGCCTCAGCCCCATCTCTGACGTCTGTCGGCACACCAAGTGCAAAAATTACGAGTATCAATAATAGTAGAACGCGTCAGATAAGGGCACCCTCGGAAAAAATGGACTGCTTGACCTCTACGAGTAGAAAGCAAGTCATCTTCCATGGACACACCAAACTCAACATGAACATGGGTTTGTGTACTTGCATCCACTCCGCGAGGACCTTGGAGCCCTTGGGCCTGCCTCTGAAGCTCCCTCGAAACTGCTCTAGTCACCCTATTCCTAATACCCTGGCGCTGCACGGGCGGTGCGGAAAAGGTGCGGTGACTGGCTCGTGGAGGAGGAGGTACCGGAACGGCAGGTGGCATTGCAGGTGGCTGAGGCACGGAGTGCCAATGCACAGAAGCTGGAGGAGCATTGATAGCTCCCTGCGGCACGCGTGGCGGGCTAGGTAGCCTGGAGGATGATGGTTGACCCTCACCATGAGGAGCAAAGATCCTGGTTGATGTTGCGGCCGGAGGCGGAGGTGGTACTCCAGAAGAGGCTCTGAGATGAGCTTGAAGCTCACGGGCAACTGCTTGCTCAAGCCTCGCCTGGCGCGAGCGAGCTTGCTAGAAAGGCTGTTCGGATATCTGCCGCGGCTGCCGACCAACGGCGCTGGGCACAGACAGTCAGGCTCAACCTAAGGGCCTCCACCGTCGTTCCTGATGCGAAAAGTTGCTCATCAGTAGCTGCCTCAAAGTTCCCACATGCAACTATCCTCGCCTTTCTTTTGAAAAGGGAGCCACTACCGACCTCCGGCGGCTTGACCGTCCATACCACCTTAGATGGAATCGGTTGCACGTTTGTGCTTTCAAGATACCTGCGGGCCGCCTTACCCTGATGTCGTTTGATGGCACCAAGGCGCTGGAGGCTCTCCAGTTCTTTAAGCACGGCTGTCTTCCATTTGTCAAGATTTTCCCTTACCTCAGCCCCGTCAACGCTATGAACCACACCCAGGGGTTCCGTCAACGAACTCAGAATGTCCTCAATGCCTTTAGTGGTGGTCGGTGCCGTTTTGTTAAGGCGAGGCTTCCTGGGACTCTTCGTGTGAGGAGGTGTGTTGGGATTGGCTGAGCTTGGCAGGTCTTGAAGGCGTTGTGCTCTCCCCTTGAAACGCTGCGAAGCCCAAGGTTGTGATTGGGTGGTCACCGGAGTTGTAGATGAAGAGCTGACGGACTGGTCTTGAGTCTGTTCAGAAGGAGGCTGAGGGCTTTGGACTCGAAGTGCTGCCAAACGTGGCATTCTGACGGGTCTTACACCCAACGGAGGATGTCTTGGACCTGGGTCCTCAAGTCCTTCGTCATCGTCATCCCCTTCGGAGTCCCTATTGAGGTCTCTCAACTCTTCATCGTCCCTTGCATGGGGAGGTCCATCTGTACCTACCGAAACTCTTCGAAGAACCATAAACCACCTCACGCCTGTGGCATACTCAAGAAACTCGAACATTGCAATGATGTCCCCTACAGCTGGAAGGATTGTCATGCTTCCTTGTAGCACCCTCGCCAATGGATGCGTTCGATCCTGGTCATCAAAGTACTCAAGTTCCGGATCCTCTTGCCAATCGCGATCCCTGAACACCCATAGTGCAGCCGGGATGACAGAAAAACTGTCCTCTGGAAGCGGTTGGTTGGCTATCAGGGGTGGGATTTCCTGCCAATTAGTAGGTATACCTTCCGAAAGACGGTGAGCCTCAGTATAAGCATAGATTAACCGATGGCGTCTGCGCTCATGCGGCCCCCTAGGCGTTGTCGTCACCGGCACACTGTCTTCCACGGGCCCTACTATTTTCCGAAGTTTGGGTATACAACTAGGCTTGCCACCAGTTGAAAACCGGGGAGGCACGGAATGGCTCATCCTGATCGGCACCGAAAAGAAACACGAGGATTTCCTGCACCCTTTCGGAAAGTCTCGACCTCGTGCGCAATTTAGCTTCACACTGTAGGATCTATTCTGCCCGGGGCCAGTGGCTTTAGAAGGTCCTGCATGGCACGCGGTTGCATAACTCTGATCAAGGGATTTTCTGTCACCTTTCGGAAAAATCTGACCCTCTCTCAAAACTACGCTCCTTTTGGTGTCACTATCAACACACCGTTCCCAAGTCACAATCGTGTCCTGATGCTGTGGGGCGCTGTCCTGTGATGGGCAACTCCAAGTCACCCCTCCTGGTTCGCAGCTCTCACAACTCAGCGTTGAGCTCTGACACAAATCCTCAGGTAAGTTCTTCGTTTGCCTGACACTCGGCTTCGAATCAGGGTGACTAGGAAACCTCACCGACGAACTAGAGCTACTCAAACCTCTATACCTGGCTTCGGCATAAGGCGAAAGATGTGGGTAGCTCCCTGCAAGCTCACAACATCCCTTGGAGCCAGCTCGCTCACGTTTTGCATCCACCCAAACAATGGACGTTGGTGGTGCTTTAAGCAAAGCCGCCTTCGTATGTTCCGCATGTGGAGCACAGGAGTCCACCAATGCATTGGAAACAGGTGGTGCTTTAAGCAAAGCCGCCTTCGTATGTTCCGCATGTGGAGCACAGGAGTCCACCAATGCCTTTGAAACAGGTGGTGCTTTAAGCAAAGCCGCCTTCGTATGTACCGCAGGTGGCCGCAGTGCTCTCAACTTGACGGGTTCACTCGCCTTGGCTTGGGCACCGGCTGAAGGATCTGGCATCTCACCCAAGATCATACTCAAGAGCGATGCCTTTGGGAACGCAAAACCTAGGCCTTGCAAAAACAACCGGTCGACGTCCGGCATCTCATGCACGTTTCGAGGTGTGAAGCCTGACACAATCCATTGGCTCAACTCGGGCGGGGCAACATAATGGAACCTTTTCGGGTCAAAAACAACTACTTCTTGCTCTAAACTATAATTGGACCCGTCCATTTCTCCACCCTTTGGCAGCCGCTGTGCAACCTCACTTGCCTGAACGTCCTTATCCTGAACCCAGATGCCATCAGAAATCACATCAGTGACTTGCGTGGCGTAGTTACACGTGCCTTGGTGATTGTTCACATCACGATGAATGGGAACACTCGGATTGTGGAACAAGGCAATAGACGTCCACTGGCATGGGCCACGATGGCCTTGCTGCTTAAGGCGATGTCTCAAGAAAGAGTTGAGGTATCTTGATAGATTCGGGCGGAGACGAGTCTCCGAGGTCACACCATGCAACCCACCGTGCGTAAACCCACCTAAGACCACATTTGGAAAGGATACCCTTGCCGCTGCAACCGGTCTCACTCTCAAACCAGCAGTGCTCAAAAGGTGGTGACACCCCTCCTGGGAAAAATCTTTGTCTTTCAAGAGATGCTTGGCTAACGCCTCACTTTCCCTTAAGATTCTTTGCTGAGAGGACTCACCCTTCGACGGAGAAGTCGTTGTCAATGCTGACATGCTAGGATCACGCGAATCGACCAACGAAGTCTTCCCTGTCACACGCCTAGCGGGCGCATCTTGGAAGGCCTCAAACTCAGGAAGTTCAACATGATCCTCCATCCTGACAACATATGGCTTTAAACCCTTAACCGGCGCAATCTCCCCATTGCTCTTCAGCACGCAGTGGCCGGCTAACACAAGGCGCGAGGGCGCAAGGTAATTTCCTTCAGACCATCTGGGCAGTAACTCCTCCTTGGTGTTAATCCCGTAGCGTTTTTCACGAAAATACACTTTAGAGAAGAAGGTCGGCAAGGACTTATCCCCATCACCCAAGGGAAGCCTCTCACGCATCTGCTTGATCACAGCATGCTGAGCGGCGGAGGGCCAATGTTTGACAGGCGCGGAAGAGGAAAACAACAGGGCACGAATCCTTCCTTTGATCCACTTCACTGCAATCTCTGCCGCTCCGTTAGCGGGAGGCTCAATGCCCGTTGTCGTTGAACGGTCTATACCTTCAGCTGCAAGCCACTTGCGCA